TATTTACATACACACATATAATACATGCACACACACATATGCATATGTATGTATGTGTGTGTGTATATATATATTATACGTATATGTGTATAAAAGATATATATTTCCTATTGGCTCCTTTTCTCTGCAGACCCTCACCAATACTGACCTTGAGCTCCAAGAAGGAAGAAAGCAGACCCGGCTTTGCTCATCACTGTGTCCCAGAGTCAGGTACAGTACCTCACATATAGTTTGTGGTCAATAAGTACTAGTTAAATAAATGAATAATGGGGCTTACATATCTGGAAGGAGGGTTGGAGTTTTGACCTCCTTGTAGCTGCCAGCCTCAAATCGGAGGGACTTAGGAAGAGTACCTGGAGAAGGGCATGACAACCCACTCCAATATTTTGCCTGGAGAATCCCATGGACAGAGGAGCCTGGTGGGCTACAGTCCATGGGGTCACAAAGAGTCAGACACAACTAAAGCAACTTAGCATGCATGCACAGGAGGAGTAGCTGTGGTAACAGCTGCTGACATTTGCTGACTTCCATGTGCCTGACTCAGGGCTCAGCTCTTCGACACATGATGACAGTTACTCCTCATGAATAACCAGCCCTATGAGACAGTCTTTATTATCTCTATGTCTAACGAGGGGCTTGGGATTCAGAGGGATTCAATAACTTGATTCGGGGGGTCACGCAGCTGCTAAGTGTCAGAGCTGAGTTCAGATTCTGACGCTTCTGCTCTAAGCCATTCTAATTCTGGAACTTTCTAAGGCCTTATCCTTTTTCCAGCTTGAGTTCACAGTTCATCGCGCCTTCTAGTCAGCTTCGTCCTCACTTTTCATCCCTGATGTGGGTCTGTCTGACTCCAGAGCCCAGGCTGGTGTCTGCCACAAGGGGCTGTGAACACACCTGGTATCTCGCGCCGTCTCTGCCATCCACTTAGGGCCGGTGGCCCTTCAAGCCCAGTTAGATGACTCGTGTCTCCTCCCACACAGCTGGGACCATGTCCCAGACTGGTCCTCACCCCCTCACTCTCTTTCCGTATGGCTTCTTATGAGTCCACAATCCACATGCCATTTATGTCAACCCTCAGGCATAAATTTATTTATGGAATCAATATATACTGAGCACATGTTTGTATGTCAGTCTTTTGTGATACAATGTGAGCAAAATATTGGGTTAGCTAAAAAGTTCACTGGGGGTTTTCTGTAACATCTTATGAAAAAGTCTGAATGAATTATTCGGTCAACCCAATAGATTCAGTTCGTGTCTTCCTCTAGAGGGGCAGGATATTGAATAAGTAATATCCATGTGTGATGAATACCAATCTCTAATATTGCTTTACATACCCACAGTGATTTTAAAAGAAAATGTTTATTTTCCCCTTTTCTTTCTCTTCAATTTCCATAGCTACCATCCTTGTCTAGGTTATGAATTTCCACTGTATTGAGACAAAGGCACCACCTTCTAATTCTCCTGTTTCTTCCCACCACCACTGTGTTAATCTTCCATAAAATACAAATCCTATAACTCTGTTCTCCAACCAAGTGATCTCCAATTGCTCTTCACGTCCTAGGAGCTGTGCTTCTCAAACTGGGGCACACGTATGTATCCTTGGAGGTCAGGGAGGAGGGGGAAGAGGATACAGTGGTGCACCAAGTAGTATAGGAAGCCATAGATAAATGTTGCATCTTCTGGAAATGTCAATTTTGTTTGAAATTTGGGTATGGGTACAAATGTAAATAGTAAATTAAGTGGAAAGTAGTCATTTTATGGGAATAAAATGTAAAACCCACGTGAAATTTTAAGATGGAAAAATAATACTTCAGAGAAAATCCACTGTGGTCAGCATGTCCCCTCAGGTGTTGGGCCTCTGCCAGGTGTGTGGCGTTTTGCTTTTGCTGAGAGGCCAGGCCACCCAGAGCACATCAGAGAGGCTGAATTGCTTTCCACTGCCTTTCCTTCACAGCAGCAAGGTTCATGGCCTGGCTCTGGGAGTGCTGAACCTGGTGCAGAAGTTTAAGACGGACTAGCTATCAGAGGAGCCAGACTCTGGGTATAGAGCAGGTACTCAGTGAATGAATGAATGAATGAAGGCATAAACTTTTGACTCTGATATTCAACCACTGACTTGATATAAACCATCATACCTATTTGACCTCATTTTCTCCATATTCTTCTTTAACCCAAGCCCAACACTTCTTGCTAAGACTCTTTAAAGGTGTTACATCACGTCCTAACTTCAGGTTTTTGCCCTGAAGGCTGTGCCCTTGTGTGCAAAGCCAAAAACACCCTTCTCTCCATTTCTCACCTAACCAAATTCTACTTGTGCTTCAACATGACTCCTCAGCCTCTGCCTCCCTATTTTGAGGTCTCCCTCCAATGTCCCACGCTCCTATGAATGTCCATACCCCTAATTGTCTCCACCACTCATTTGGGTGTCCCAGGTACATCTTGCCTCATCAGCCAAACTTGACATTGCTTGAGTGTTAGGAGATGTCTTACCTTTCCATTTTACCTCTCAGAATGCTTACAAGTAATGGACAGATCACAGATACAAGAAGATCATGTTGAAGACCTGCCAATGAACTTTAGTCTAGATCTGCAGTTCTCAGCTAGAAGCAATTTTCACCCCAGGATATTTTACAATGTCTGGAGTCATTTTGAGTTGTCACAACTGGCCTTTGCTGCTTGTATCTAGTGTGAAAAGACCAGGTATGCTGAAAAGCATTCTACAATGCATAGGACAACCACCTCCACCAAAGAAAGAATCCTGTGCCCTTAATTTAACAATGTATTGTTAAGAAATCCTTGTGTTCATTATAGGATCTTCCTAACCTCTTTCCTTGTGTCCCTTTGTTCTCCCAGACAGAACCCAACATCCATCCTTCTTCTTCAGTCTAAGCAGCTTCTCCAAAAAATAACTGTAGTCAGATCAGTCCCCGGGTTAATTTAGTGGCTATTCATTTAGTCTGAAAGAAAAGTTAAGTCCATTATCATGGCCATTATGACCAGGCTCTTGCATTCCTCCTGAACTTCACCTGTTCCTTCTCCAAGTCATTCTTTATATACCAGCCATATCAGCCCCCCTTGTTGGCTCAAAGATCAATATCAGCACAGACACTAACAAACATTGATAAAGCATCTATCACGAGCCAGGTACTATTTCAGGTGCTGGGAAATCAACAGTGACCAAAACAGGACAAGTTCATGGCCTCAAGGAGCCGACAGTACAGATCAGCAGTCGTCAAGGGAGCCTTCTGCAATGAAGGAAGTGTCTTAGGTCAGTCTTAAGTCAGCACTGTCAATATAGGAGCTGCTATTGAGTACTGGACATGTGGAGCATCTGAATCAAAATCTTCCAGAAGCGTAAAATACACTCAGTATGACACATCTCATTAACAATTCTTAATGATTATCTTACCTAAGCCCTGCGACAAACCCATGAGGTGGATGATATTATCTTACCCATTTTTCATATGAGAAAACAGGCTTGGAAAGGTAAGGGAAAGTTGGACAAAGTCAGGTGGCTAATAAGAGATTAGCCTGGCTCTGAGCTGGGTCTGTATGACTCCAGGATCCATGCAATCTACATCCCACCACACTAGTCATACCAGTTCCCCTGGGCAATACTCCTCACAGCAAAGGAGTACATGGACACGATCAAAATGACCCAGATAGTCACCCGACTCCGAGCCATACCTCATACAGATGATCATCACTTTGCTCACGTCACTAGGAATTAAAATGAAAAACTGGGGCTCTGGGGGAGAGAGGGCTTCCCTCCCAGTTCTTCATGGCAAGCTTCAGTGGCAGAGCGGCCCCGGCAGACGGCGCTGGCCAGACACTCAGATCCTGTGGCTCCTGAGCATCTTGGAAGCTGCACATTCTTTAGCCTGACCCTGGGTACGGATGACGGCTGCCCTCCAGGCACCTTTACTCCAGGAAGCGTTTTGTTTTCTAGAAAACCTCTCCACTAGCCCCAGGTCCATCCTGTCCACTACACCTGGCTCTTGCTTCACTCGCTTACATCGGTCTTAGCCTTTGGCCGCCAAGCACTCAGCCCCCATGAGTTTGGAGCCGCTTTGAACCATCAACACCATGAAAACTCCAGCGTGACCCCTGGGCCTGTGAGCCTGGGGGACTCGACCCCACCCCCCTCTCTGAAGCCCTCCTGAGTGCCCACTAGAACCACTGCGCCTTCTAGGGTGCTGCTTCTCAAAGCCTCACCCTCTCCATGAAGCTAATAATCCCTGACCCTCAGCTGCTACTTTAAAAAAAAATTGAGATATAATTGACATATAATAGTATATTAGTTTCATACAACATAATGACTTGATATATGTATACAGTGCAAACATTTACGTTCAGTTAGCATCCATCACCATGCAGAATTGCAATTTCTTTACGATGAGAACTTCTAAGATCTTCTCTCAACAACCTCCAAATACACACTACAGTATGAATTTAGTCACCGTCCCAAGGTGCGATTCTCGATTCCTGTATATTCACAGGCTCCCCAACTGTCCAGCAAGTCCAGTTGATTCTGCTGCCAGGATCTGTCCAGAACCCGCCCACTCCTCTCCACTTTCACGCCCCGCCCTTGTCGGGGCTATCCAAGTCTCCTGCCTGATATCACAACCCTCTCCTAACGGGTCCTCCCAACCCCGCTTCCTGTCCTCAGGTTCATTTCCCCCAGGGCCAGAAGAGGGCTCTTAAAACATAATTCAGATCATATCACAATGTGACAATGACAGGACTCAGGCCTTATTCACCTCTGTCTTCCACAGCCCAAAGCCAGCGCTGGTGGGATTCGACACCAGCAAAGGTTTTCTCTTGACTCAAACACCAGACTTGGGGCCGACCTCCGAGTCAGGACAGCGCGTGTGCAGCTCCCTTGCTCCCGCGTGTCTGAGGTGGGGAAGGACGGCAGCGCCCCGGGCCCTCCCCCTTCTCCTCTGCGTGTCGGGGCCGGGGCGCACCCCCCCTCAGCCCTGGGGCGGCTGGCTACTCACACTTGGTGTGCCGGTCACACAGCGCCGACGCCCGCATGTCGCACAGCCGGATGGTGCCCTTGCTGCTGCTGTACACGAAGGTGTTGCAGTGGTGGGGGTGGAACTCGGCCGCCGTGATCACCTCCGTGAGCTCCTCCATGTTGGCCGGCTTGATGTCCACGATATCTGGCGCAGACGAGTCAAGGAGGGGGCCGCGGGGAGGGGCGCTTCAGCGGGGACTAAGCATCGTGGCTTTATCTAGAGGAACAGGTCAGCGCGGAGCACACACGGAGGGGCCTCATCAGGACTCTGTGAGCAGGCGGCTATCACCGGACTCACGCAGACGCGGCCCAGGGACGTTCAGTGGCCAAAGGGAGAACTAGACCTCGGGTCCCCCCAGGCCCTAATCGGGGTTCCATCCCCCGTCACACGCAGATGCTCCATCCACACTAAAGTTACCTGCTCATGCAGTCAGGCTAAACTGTGCCAGGAGGCAAGGGCTTTCATTGCTCATTTTACAACAGCGGTTAAGAAACCAGTCCCATCACAACCAAACAATTCAATAGATTTGAAATTTTAACCAAACCCCTGGGCTGATAAATTATATCTAGGACAGACTGTGAATCTTCTCCCACAAAACCCCTTAGATCTTTAGAGAGGGTGTGGAGAGAGGGAACCTGCCTGTACTGTTGGGTGGGAATGTAAATTGAGACAGCCACTATGGAGGTTCCTTAAAAAAGTCAAATCAGAACTACCCTGAGAAAATCATAATTTAAAAGGACATGTATACCCCAACATTCACTGCAGCACTATTTACAATAGCCAGGACATGGAAACAACCTAAATGTCCTAAATGACAGATGAATGCATAAAGAAGATTTGGTACATATATACAGTGGAATATTCGGAGAAGGCAATGGCACCCCACTCCAGTACTCTTGCCTGGAAAATCCCATGGACGGAGGAGCCTGGTAGGCTATAGTCCATGAGGTCGAGAAGAGTCGGATACGACTGAGTGACTTCACTTTCATGCATTGGAGAAGGAAATGGCAACCCACTCCAGTGTTCTTGCCTGGAGAATCCCAGGGATGGGGGAGCCTGGTGGGCTGCCATCTATGGGGTCGCACAGAGTCGGACATGACTGAAGTGACTTAGCAGCAGTAGTAGGATACAGTGGAATATTATTCAGTCATAAAAGGGAAAGAAATTAGATCTTTTGTAGAGATGTGGATGAACTTAGAGCTGTCATACAGAGTTAAGTCACAAAGAGAAAAAGAAATATCATATATTAATGTATATATGTGGAATCTAGAAAAATAGTACTGATGAGCCTATTAGCAGGGCAGGAATAGAGACACAAACGTACAGAATGGACCTGTGGACGCAGGGAGGGCGGGGGAGGGTGGGACAAATTGGGAGAGAAACACTGACATATATACACCACCATGCGTAAAGCAGAGAGCTCATGGGAAGCTGCCATATAACACAGGGAACTCAGCTTGGTGCTCTGTGATGACCTGGATGGGTGGGATGGGGGCGGGCGGGAAGGAGACTCAAGAGGGAGGGGATATATGTATACTTAGAGCTGATTTACTTCACTGGACAGCAGAGACTAACACAAAACTGTAAAATAATTTTACTGCAATAAAATAAAAAAATAATATGTCAATGAAATTATAATAATAATAGTTGCTACCACTTACTGAGCACTGACTACAGGTCAATCGCTGTGCAAAGCACGTCATGTGCTTTCTTTCATTTAATCCTTATAACAGCTCTCTAATCAGCACTTTACTTATCCTTGTTTTTTAAAGGGTGGAAACAGAGTCTTGGAGTATGTAAGTAACGTGCCCCAAGTCATATGGCTAAAGAGTGGCAGTGGTAGGATTTTATCCCAGGTGCAAGATTTGCACTTTTTAGTAATTATGCAAAATTTCTCTTACTGAAGATATACAGGATCTCAAATCTCCACAAACTGTGATTTGCTTTAGAGCTTGTGTGGGAGTTCACGTATTAAAAAGAAGCCATCCAATTGCACAGCAGAGTAGTTTTGGCCTCCCATGTAATACACCCCTAGTTTTATCATCGTTTTTCTTTTTTTGTCTTGAGTATTTTCCTTTCTGATGAAGAATTATCATACCTCTATTTTTAAGGAACATCTCCTTGTGTATTGAAATCAAACATTTGGCCTTTCATCTATCAATATGATGGTGACCTAACAGAAACAAACACCTTTAGTGGGCGTGAGTTTGTGCTGATCCATTCACATTCCTCCTGAGAGCGCGGGGGACCTGGGTGCAGGTAGGGAGGTGCCTGAGGGCTTGCTGTCTGAGAACCAGCATAGGAAGAGGTCTCTTGATGCGGATGCTGTGAACCAAAATGATTCTCACTTTTGAGCCATATTTGTGATTTTGCCCCTCCTGTTTATCACCAGGTAGCATTTTTTAACTTAACATTTGTTTCTATGGGTGAACTTAAATCGACTTACTTTTTTCTTTACTCAGCCTCGTAATCAGTAACCCAATATTCATGAAATCATCGGTTTAATAAGCTAGTTACATTTTAAATAACACACCTGAAATAAATGCATTTAATAATTAAAATGAACACATTTATGTGTGTGCCAGGAACTTACGAATCACATTTTGGAAAACACTGCATTGAATCAACAAGCAATAACTTGAGACAGACAATGCCATTAGACTGGGATGGATAAGTCTATGTTTTTTTGTGAGGTTGGTGGCCTAATCTCCTTAGAGTTTAAAAGAGTAATGAGTAAATGCACTGATATTTTTAGTCACATTAGCACTAACAAAGTAGTCATCTACTAGCAAACATCACCCATGCTCCTAGTTTGAGGCAATAATGGCTGTGTATCTAGTTGTGCCTCTTTCTCCTTCAATTATCTCTTATAAATCCTGTTGGGTTCTTTCTAAAATTAGCTTGAGACTGAACTAACATTACATCTTGCTACAATTTCCCTCAGCAGCCCAGATACAGATATAACTTGTGTCTCCAGAGCATGTAGGTCCCCTGGACTCATAAAATACTACCTTTCAACTCAACTGCTCTCAGAGTTATAAATATTATCACAGTTAGCATCGCGTGCTGGGGAACAGGAGCCTGTTTCCCCCCAGAAGAAGGCCCCAAGCTGCAGCTCTGGGGTTCTCTCCAGCCCCCTGACCCATGCATGCCCTGGGCTTTGTAGCCACAATACAGGGTGGGGTGAGCAGAGGTTAGTGTTCAGCTGTTGTCAGACTTCATTTCTCTCCAGAAAGAGCCTCCATACTCCACTGTGCCAGTGAGCATGTTTCTCTTTTCCCAAAATAGGGCAAGAAAATCTGGTGTCAGCTTTCTCAACCTCTATCAGTACAGCTCTAAAAACAAGCTTAACTGGAAAGGATCTTGGCTGTGTGGGAGGGGGAGGTGCTACATCTCTGGTTACTTTTTTTCTCACCTAAAAATAAAGCTCACAAGTTAGAACGTGTGAAAATGAAGTGCTTAAACATATATATGAAACCAGGAGCATCCTCCACCTTCAAGAACACCATGAGAATTGAGTGTGCTTAGGGCTGCTGCCTCTGGACCCTTCCTCTCTCCTTCCCCCTCCATCCATCCTGGACCTCCAAGCCTGCCCACCATCCCTCACATCCAGGCAACTTCCTTGTGACTAAATAGAGTGCTTCTTTGGGTCTGAACTTATGGGGTTCAGGAGAAAAGCCATGACTCCAATCCTCTTTTTAGTAATTGTGGTGATAAGGACAAGGAAGATAATACGAAAATAAAAAGCAGTTGCCAAAGTTCATCAAGTGCCACGCACTGTCTCATTTGCTTTTCACCTCATCCTTATGACGCTAATATTATTAATAGACCTGTTTTTGAGCAGAGGAAACAGTGACAGAGGTAAGTTACTTAATGTTATATGATGGTAGCGGGTGGAGCTGGCATCTGAACCCAGGTTTGTTCGACTCCAGAGCCTGGTTCCTGACCACACGCCACCCTCCTTCACTGAGAATGGCCCCCACAGAGCCGGCCTTTCTCAGCAATGTAATTCTGGCTCTCTTGAAACTCCCCTGGCTTATCTGAGAGGGATTCTGCTTGGAACTGGTGCTCGCTCAATTTGCCCACCACTCTGCGCACTACATTTTTCAGAACCAGAATTTGGACCCAGCATCTGACCTAGGAGTTTTTTTTTAAGGAACTGTAAGTTGAGACAGAAGCAAGATAAAGGGTTTCTTGAATTGTTAACTGATGGAGGATTTTCTGAGTTCTAAAAACATTTAGGAGGAGTCTAGTTTCCAAAAATTCAACGGTGTGTGGGGATGACAAGAGAGCATATTTTACATGCATTATCTGTAAACTCAGTCTTTTTCCTTAAACAGTTCTCAAGGGAGATACACACCTCCAGCATGTGTGGTTGTGCCCTTCATGTAGGGAGGGAAGGAGACAGGAAAGGAGTAATGCTTGGCTCCCTGTATTATCTTGGAAATGGAATGATGCATGTTGACAGTCAATTTTCTTTTCCTCATCTTTTAGAGCTCTCTATCCAAATTATTTCCCTGTTGTCCCAAAGAACTAAATAGCAAAGGCAAAACAGAGCAATGGATTCACGGCTAATATACAAGGCAGACAGCCAACAGATTGCTATTAAATTAACCCTGGGGCTTGACAGATCTGTTCATCCTGACCCCAACCGCTTATGGCATTCCTTATTAATGCTGAGCCCAGGCAAATTACCTCTGCTAACAAAAGGGGTTAATATGCCTCTCTGCTGGGACTCGAGGCAGCGCTGGGGACAGGAGGGGGCACAGCCAGTTTGGCAGCTGAGCTCCACGCTTGGAAGGCAGGAGGTGGGAAGGTGAGGGCACTGCTGTGCCAGGCAATGGCCTAAGGCATCATTTAAAATAATAATTGAAGACACTAGGAGGTCACCTCTTAAGGGATCAGCTTCAAACAAATAAAAAGCCAAGGCCATAAATTACATCAGTGGGGTAAGGAGATGAAGAGGGTTATGGCAGGATGCTCAAGGGGAGATAGATGGGGACCATTCAAGAGTCATTTCCTTGATCCCAAATTTGGAAAAGTTTTCTATCAAAATATCTATAGAAACATTATAAAGGAGAAAGACTGACAACAACCTTAATACACAGAAATAGGGAAATGATTGAGTAAATTCTGGTTGATAT